CGATCACGCCATCAATCGTCATTTATCGATTGATTATTAATACTTTATTTACGTATGCGTCCGCACTCTCTCATGCGTGTAACATTCGCTTGTTTACCGTTTTCCTTTTCGAAATTTATTTGTAAAAAATATTGTATAGGCGATAGTATGTAAATATGTAAATAAAAAATATGCGACAGTAGATTATTGCAAAGTAGAAACACTTTTATCGTTAGCTCCATGAATATGTAGGAAATTCCAGGTGTCCCATCTCTCATTCGGTTCGTCATCAACAACTTATATTATAATTTGTTACGAATGGGTAAAGCAATGATGACTCATAAATTCAAACATAAATAAGAATATCATCTTTTATAAAAACGTATATTATTTAATGACTGAATAAAGTAAGGGAACGATTTAAAATATTGTTAATAAATTATTATGGATGAATTGATAAATGATTCTAGTTGCGTAATCATATATTGATTAGTTTATAAAGTTTTCTTTTAGATTTATAACATTCAGCGTCGACCAGTGAATTTTTATGAAATATAAGGATAAGTTTTACCTGATAAAAGATTTAAGATAAGGCCTTGTGCGAAATTCAGGATATTGAATTTTTATCGATCTCTTTATTTTAATTTTAAAGAGATTCATGACGATAGCTGTTGTTTCTTAATGTAGTAATATTAACTTTAGTAATATTAATTAATCTGATTACTTTTTTTTCTTCGTTTTTGTCATATATAGGTGTTGGATCATATTACCTGAAGTAACAAGCCTGAATCTGAATCTAAATTTTTCTTTCTACATTCAGCTCTTTGATTTGTTTATAATAAACGCGCAATAAATAAATAGCAATTCGTTTTTTAATTCCTAAATATTCATCAATATCAAGAGAAAAAAAGTCTCGAAGAATAAATATTCATTGGGGGTGAACCACCGGCTAACCTTATCGACTATTCTTTAAAGGATGCGATAAACAGCGAGATAACCAAGTGTCAACTAAATGAAGTCACTTGTTGCTTAACTGATTCTTAAAGAACCTACGTCACCGCTAACAGTGTTTGCTTCGCCAGTGCCACACGTCTAAATCCACCCTCGCATAGGAACAAGCAGATTGGCGAGGGGGAGGAAGATGAGGCATACTTGGTGCTCTATGGAAATATGGTACCGTTTTGCAGCGCGGCGCATCGGTGGCCATTGCTATAGCTTAATGGCGACGCGAGCAGTGGTTGCGCAGAGGCGCGTATCCGCGAATTCAGTCGATAATGCTTGAGGTAGGTTGTGGGAGGCCTCCTCCTACTCGACGCCCCCCCCCCTCCTCCTCCTCCCCGCGGCGGCTGTCGACAGAAAGTGCCGAATTCATGTCATTAATAAGACGCACAGCCGGGCGCGCGAGAATGTTCTGATTTCTATGAAAGTTGCGTTTAATTTCGTTTGACCGCGTTTGTCGTTGCAGAAGTAGAATTAAAAAATTTTAATTTTGTGTTCTCACATGACTGTGAAACATTGTGTTGTAACAAATGGAAATGTGTGAACGAACTAGATGATTACTTTCTTATCGCTTATACGGGCTTGGCTGTAAATAAAGATAAGCGATCGCTTACGGCAGCCTTATAATTAATTACACAATGATAAAAAGATGAGTTTCGAATTGATTGATTCAAGGTTCTGAGCGATTTCCGATTGCCATCGGTCTTTCCATCGTGCGTATTTATTTTAGCAATTTACCACCAGGTTCAATAATATTTAATCCTTAATATTTGACTCTGTTGATACATGTATAGCTGCATATTGAGAATTGAGTTTTAATAAAGTTACGAGAAAATCGCGACGAGGTATTAAAGTGCGAAAGAAAGTACGAACGATAGGCTACGAGATGCATAACCTCGATAACAAAATTAACACTCGAGCTATTTGAACTCATTTCCGCAGTTTGTCTCCCCTCGATATTGCTAAGCCTCTATCTAAAAGTTAACCCTTGCTCCTCTAATGAGGCTTTAATATTAAATTCTGTCAATGATATTTCGTTAGAAATCAGTGAGAATTAAAAATGGCGTTCACTATTTTAAATAAATATTAAAAAGTATGTAATGAAATTTTATTATTTGCAAGCGAGTATAGGTAAAGAAAGGAAAAAGCAATAAGCAGAAAGACTATATAGTAGAGCCACTATAGAAAAGGGGGCCACCACACTTTCTCTAATAATTGTGGTTCAATATCTTGTGATACGAGAATGCGTGTATGCATATAATACACTTTGAATGTTGAATCTTTGAAAATAATTTCAAATTTAACAAGTGTTTTGAGTCAGTAGATTAAACGAAATTATTGGCACAAGTGAAAATGCGTAACAACGTTACGTTTCTTTTAGTAAACACATGTTTAAAGAAATTTATGAATTATATATTGCGTACAATAATCGATATTAATTTTGTGATACTAATACATTATTGCAATTAATTGTATATTCATGTAAATGCAAGTACGAATAACAAAATTAACATGCACCCTAATATATGTAAATCATTATTAATTTTTTCAATTATAAATTTATAAATTTATGCATTGCAATTATACATTAAACTTTTACTATTGGATCAATATTATAATATTATAATATTATGATATTAAATGATAAATGTATATTTATTGATATTATATAAGATAAATATATAAGATACCGATATTGAAACATGTTAAATAATAAGAATATTTTTTATACTCGAATGGTTGTTAATTAATTACTATAATAGCGATTAATTTTATTTGCACAACAATATTTATTAAAAACGCCTTATTAATGTAAAACTTTTTTATTAAATATTAGCTGTGAAAAATAATGATGGCGACTGTAACCGATATTAGGATAATGAGTGAACAATATATCAACATTGACTATAAAATATATTATATATATATATATATATATATATATATTATATTTTTTATCAACATCGGTTACTTCTGATCTTGATTTAATGCAAAATTTCATTTATCGAAGCTTAATGTAAAGATTTGAGCATTGCTTCAGGCAACTTCTCGTTTCTTGTACATAGATTCGAGTTGATTTGACTTGTCTAGTTCTGTGCGTGTATTTTGAATGGAGGCGCAGTGTCGAATAAAAAAAAAATCGATGCTTTTAAAAATGCGAGGGGAAGTGGACGTATGATTGTCGTTGACGCGCCTGCGCCCCCCCTCCCACATATGCCTATAATAATGGAAGATGCAGCAGCTGCACGGGAAAGTGGTGGAAGAAACGGAAAGAGGAAGGGAATAGGCGCGCGCGCACATTCGAGAGAGAGAGAGAGAGAGAGAGAGAGGATGATATAGAATCAGAAATCACAGTAAGCAAGAGGAACGGGAAGCGCTTGAGGAGGAGTAGTGGAGTAGGAGGTCAAACGAGAAATAATAGACGCGGATGGAAGAGCTGTTAGGGAGGAGCTGGGGGCGGAGGGCCAGATTATAGCAGAAATACACAGAGCTGACAGAGGTAGAGTGGGAACGAGACAAAGATGGAATGCATATATGCGCAAAATGGCTGTCGAATGCGAGTACAGCGCCGCCTGCCATCGCATTTTTCTACAAACTGCATTCTTCTCTAGAGAGACGACGTAATATAATAAACCTATATACATGTATGTTTTCTTTATAGCATGGTGAGGTTAGGTCTCCGATGTATGTATGTTTATATATATATATATATATACGCATATAATATGTGCATAGATAGGGACAGTAAAGGGGTAAGAAGAAAGAGAGAGAGAGAGAGAGAGAGAGAGAGAGAGAGAGAGAGAGAGGGATTACTGTCTAACAGTGGCTGCGAGGACAACTTTGATGCTCGAGATGCTGTGTGGAGCTTGTAGGTACTTTTGTACCACAGGAAACATTGCTCACCTCGGTTACTGGCACTTTGGAAAAATTAACCTAGCCTTGGGCTAATGGCGCTGCGCTCGTTTTATCTTAGTTTCATTTATTCACCACTATACTCTACTGTCGTCTTCGACGTTGTGTTGACAATGCTTTGCTTTTCTAAGCTCCTTGCAATTAAAACTTGAAGCAATTATGGATATACATTACATTGATCAAATTTTCATGCAAAATTTGACTTTCATAAGCAGAAAAAAATCCTTAGCGACTAGAGATTACTATCGAAGCACACTATCTTTTCGTACTGCAATTTCTTCTCTATTAAAACAACATACTTATTTAAAGTTTTAATTATCCAATCTCCAAGGACTATACCAGTCACTTAATATATTTATTAAATAATATAGTTATTTATTCAATGTATACCTACTTAATATAAATAGTCTATTCTTATAAACAAGTCTTATAAAATATAATATAATTATTAAATGCGACAATTAAAATGAATTTCAAATGATTGCTCGATCAACGAATCGCATCTATAGTTGCAAGTAATTGATTTGAATAATATATAGAATTAATTTTACTTCATATTAATTGATAATATTATGCAAAGCAAGCTTTGAATTTACAATAAGTAATACGGCATATTTGTATAATAAAAGTGTATAATCTGCCAAAATTAATGCAAAAGGCACAAGTCTTGAACAATCTTAATTGTTATTTATAATTTTGTAAATAGAGAACGTACAAAATTAAAAATGTAATTGTCAGTATAAAATTAAGCCCGACCCAATTGAGAATGAAAAAATAATGGTTTTATTTAAACGATTTCAATGGATAATTAGCTAGCTAAGGCAACATTCGCAAATGTAAGATAGTTTATTTGAAATAGACAGCTGTTTAGATAAAAGAAGCAAACGACCCCAGTGTTTTTCGAATCTTTTAATTTTATACTCGCCACTACCGCCACGAGCGTACAAAATTCGCAAGAACGACAATTTAGCTTTAACGCGCGACACACAAATTGCGAAAAGCCTTAACACTTGCATGAAATGCGATAAATTTGAGAAAATTCTTAAATAAAACACGAAAATGTTTATTATGGGTACACACTAAAGTAGGAAAGGGCGCAGGGTTGTTACCTCGAGGAAGAGGCAGAATGTCGCGGACGCCCAGCTTGGTTATGTCCGAGGCGGCGATCGCGAAGAAAGTGTGGCCCTGTCGTTTTAACGTGCGGAAAAGCAGCTTTTTCAAACGAAACAAATGCATTAGAGCTATGAAGAGATGTAGGTAGGCAATTTCGAGGCTGCTGGAGGTCAAGTCATTGCGTCGAAAGTTTTGAACGGACGACCGAAAAATGCGGATCGTCGTTACGCGGTCTCGAGACGATTCTTGTATTATATCCTGCTTCTATTATTCGATACTGGAGCTTTTCACACTACCTGAAAATCGTTCAGGAGATAAAAAACACGTTAAAGCGTCGCTTACCTTAATATGACAGAAATACAGAAGCTCGATGAGAACTCGGATGTAAACACAAGCATCTTCTCGTCAAACGGACAGCAGGGCAGCTTGAATTAACTACGCGATAGCATGTGTTACATCACGACAGGCTTTGTTCCGACCTCTTCCTTCAAATTACGTTATTAAATCCCGTAATAAACACAAGAATCCGCGAACTCTTTGGAAAACATCCATTGGAGAGTTAAGATGGCAGCCATACTTCTCGGACAAAACAAAGGTTCACGTCCACGGACTCCCAAGCAACAAAAGCCAGCAAGCCAGATGATTTCCGGCGCTGTCGGCGCCCCGCCAATTCCAAATTTTATATTCCAAGTGATTATGATACTCAGGATCTTACATAAAAATCTAATTTGTTAAAGTAATCAACAAACTGATGGTTATTCGCTAAATTTTTGCCATTATTTTGTCATTCTCGACTAATAAAATTAAGTGGAAGAGTATGGAATTATGAATATGAAATTCTAATTCGCGATATCAGAGGTCGCCTGCAGCGTTTTGTGTGCGTAAGCGCCGCCTAGCGACGAGTTTCTTGAACACGCAATTCTCGTCTGAGAATTCCTTGCCAACATGAGAACGGTAAAATGACTGAATGGAGTGTACGTTAACGTGAAGGGGCGACAAAGTTAGATTATCACCTCATTTACGAAATTCCGAGAGGTTCGTATATTGCGCTGTCGGCCAAATACGAGCGTTAACTCTGCGACTGAGCTCACGAGTCATAAGAATCAGTATCTCCTAGAGCTTATTTAGCAAATGGATTTTTGCGGATCAGTCTCGATGTTTGGACGATCAAAAGGGAAGAATCTGTTAAAAATCTGCATTCGGAGATTGACGTTAGTTGGCAGACCTCGCACGGCGCAAATGTTGTACAAAATGGAGTCAGTCTAGCTTGCAATCGACTCCCTAAGGATTATTGATTTTTAAATGTATACACATATCTACAACATGCCTTGAAGAGGTATGGAATAGTACTTGCTGTACAATTCGAATTCAAATAAATATTTATTGGACGAGTGAACTTATAATTGCTTCATGAATATGCTGATTTTGTCGTTCGAATTCGTGAAAAACTTGACCAACAATTTGTTTAAAATTTCATTTCAAAATGCCATTAAATGAAATACTAATTCAGAATTTGACTTTCAACTAATTGTGCTTAAATAATTAGAAAAGATTTTAATCAACATTCAGTAAGTTGGCATTAATTTACAGTATTAGATAAACAATTCAACAATAGTTCTTAACTTGCTGAATACTGAATTTACCACAATTAAAATTTGTTCAAATACACAGTGAGGAAAAAATAGAATTATCATGAACATAACAACTATCGTTCAAAACTTTCAATTATCGTATTCAAGTAATTATTATCTTTATGAAAATATTTTTAAATTAATTTTAGGTAGTTAAAATAAACTATTTAAACAATTCAATTCTTAAATAAATATTTTTGTTAATTTTTTAAAAGTAAAAATAATTTTTTTAAATAATTGGAATCTAGCATTGTGAATATTTGAAGTGAAATAGAATATTAATTTGAATGAATAAATTTATAGTTTAAAATAATTACTAAAATCTAATTGATAATAATTGACTTTATAGATAAAAGAAAAGAAAATGGGGTTTGTTTAATTAGTTTATCAGAAATAATTTTGATCAATATTAATAAAAATATTTTATTTTTAATGTATTATTTAATAAAGATAATAAGATAAATTAAATTTTATCCCATCTGAGATAATATATTTTAAAAGAATTATTTATATTAATTTAATTTTTTAGGCATGGCTGATTATGATCCTCAACTGAAAAGATTGTTATTACCACCAGAAGAAAGTTTTTTTGAATTACTTATTAGATATGGATTATATATTGGAGCAGTATTCCAAGTTGCTTGTCTATTAGCAATAGTAGTTTATCATGGGAGATCTTCAGACGGTATAACAGCATTGAAGGTATTAATAAGATATGTTTAAAAGTTTTATAATTTAGTTTAGTCTATTAAAAATTTGTCATTAAAAAGAGTTTGAAAAGATATTTGCTTAAAGATTTTATTAAGATTTAATAAATGTATATTATGTAGTTTATTTATATGAAATTATTTTCACAAAAATATGTATTATATTTTGACATGGTTTATTTAATTTATATTAATATTAATATAAATTATTAATTATTAATTATTAATTATTATTATGTATTTTATATTATTGTAGGATGATCCTAGTGATATCGAGTGTTCCGAAAATAGTCCTCAGGTTACCCCAAGAAGACCACATAGACCAAGAAAGCAAGAAAAAAAGAAAAGACGATAACAAATAAAACGAAGCAAAATAAATGAATAAAGGACTAACTTTGTATTCTTATAATCAATTGTTTATAATTTGTATCTAAAGAGATTATTACAATATTTTGTACAAGAACTTAATTGGTGATTATAGAAAAGATAAATTTATACTATACAAAAATAATTGCAATATTTTTATGTTATACAGGCAATATACTCATTTTTGTATCTTTTTTTTAATATAGTTTTTTAATTAGATTTTAAAAAATTCGGACTTTGTTATTTATTATATATAATTAAAGAAAGCATTGACTCATTCTACTTTCTCTATTTATAAATAAAAACTATTAATACCTCGCGGATATACAATCCTGATTGAATTAGTCAAAAATATTTTGAAATTTGTAATGATCTTTCTATACTAAGTTTTGGTTGATATATAAGAAAATAGCTAACTTAAAGATGTGTTTTGTAAGCATATTTAAAATATGAAAATTTAATGCTTATGTTTTTAAATTTTCTTCTTCTTTACGCTACATTTTACAATTATTAATTATAATTTAGCTTATGAAAATTCATAATACATGCTTACATATTTAATTTTGAAATAAAATTTATTTGATTTAATGTACAAAATTAGAAAAAAGGTTGTTTTTAGTTGAAATAGTATAAATATACTATATCAAATTTTAAGACTTAATGATTTGCATAAAGTAATTTTATTCTTTTTTAATATTAAATATCTTGGTTTTATTACCCTAATTTAATTAATGTATAAAATTGCCATTGGTTTTATGATTTGAATCTTTATATTTACATGAGCATAAGTATAAAAAAATCTCGTATAATAATTTAAAATACAAAAATTCGGTTATGATTATAATACGTTTTTAAATAGGCGTAGGCAATAACTATAAAGTGTGCAGGCGCTCAATGAATGTAGTGTGTAGTGGTAGGAATGTATCGGACAGTAGTCAATGGCTATTCTGCTTACTTTGGGCGGTCAACGTCATCAGATCACGTGACTCGGCGCCTCCGATTAATATGTACGTGTTCCTGCATTCGCAGAGCCGCATTAAAGAAGTGAAGTCGTATGTGCTTTTCCTTGCGGTTTACTCTCGCTCACGCGAAGATAGGGTTCACGTATTTTGAAGTCCGAAAGATCTCGGACACCTGCAGCATTAGATTCTCAAATTTGGAAGCCAGACAAATAGCAACAAAATGGGTAGTAAGTAAATAATATTTTCAAAAATTTTATGAGATTTTGTGGGTCACTGGGATACAAAACCATGAGATATTGGCGTGACAGGTCTCAACATATTGCTACTTCTTGAATGGATATTTTTTTCATTTTCAGTTAAATTCCTCGAGGTGATCAAGCCATTCTGTAGTATTCTGCCGGAAATAGGAAAGCCCCAGCGGAAGGTGAGTTTCACGTTACTATTTTTGGATAAGAGCAACTTTGGTTAACCGTTGCTTACATACAGTGAATAGTATTGTTTGAAGTACCGTATTTCGTGCGCTCAATCAATCTTTCAAGTTACTTTTAGCCATATGACTTGATATGTTTATATTAATTGACTATTATTGCTTTTGTGTATATTAGACGATTCTGACAGATGGTAGACAATTAATAATAATGAAAAATTATATATAAATATATTTTCTTTTTCCTTCAGATACAATTTAGAGAGAAGGTATTATGGACAGCGATTACTCTTTTTATCTTTTTGGTCTGCTGCCAGGTAAGTAATAAATGTATAGAATATTTTATCATATTTTTTCGTAATGTTTTAAAACAACTATAAATTTGTTTACACAGATTCCATTGTTTGGAATCATGTCATCGGATAGTGCAGATCCCTTTTATTGGATTCGTGTAATTTTGGCTTCCAACAGGGGAACGTTAATGGAACTAGGAATTTCACCAATCGTTACATCTGGTTTAATTATGCAATTATTAGCTGGTGCTAAAATTATTGAAGTCGGTGATACTGCAAAGGATAGGGCGCTATTTAATGGAGCTCAAAAATGTAAGTTAATAAAATCAATTGAAATTTTAATTGAATTTTTATGGAAAACTTGTCTTTCTTAGTATTTGGAATGGTCATCACAGTCGGACAGGCAATTGTCTACGTAATGACAGGAATGTATGGCGACCCAGCTGAAATTGGAGCTGGAGTATGTCTCTTGATCATCATCCAACTGTTTGTAGCAGGACTGATTGTCTTGCTATTGGATGAATTATTGCAAAAAGGCTATGGTTTGGGAAGTGGTATTTCTCTTTTCATCGCTACCAATATTTGCGAGACTATTGTTTGGAAAGCATTTTCTCCAACTACTGTTAATACAGGCCGTGGTACGGAATTTGAGGGCGCAGTCATTGCCTTGTTTCATCTTTTAGCAACGAGACAAGACAAAGTTAGGGCTTTGCGGGAGGCATTTTATAGGCAAAATCTTCCAAACTTAATGAATTTATTAGCCACGATCTTGGTATTTGCCATTGTGATATATTTCCAGGTAAATATACATTCACTAATCAGTTTTAATCGAATAATTTTATAATCTTGTAATTAATATTGTGTAGTGTCAAAAGAAAATTGAAAAAATACTTCCTACTTTACACGCTCTACCGGACAATTGTAACATGGAACTTTCGTTTCGACTTATGACAATATGATTGAAAAAATTATTTTTATAATTTTCAGGGATTCAGAGTGGATTTACCAATTAAGTCAGCGAGGTATCGTGGTCAACAAAGTAGCTATCCCATTAAACTTTTTTACACGAGCAACATTCCAATTATCCTGCAATCTGCGCTGGTCTCTAACTTGTACGTCATTTCTCAAATGTTGGCCGTGAAATTTCATGGTAACATTATTGTCAACCTGCTTGGAGTCTGGTCGGATGTTGGTGGCGGTGGCCCTGCTCGATCTTATCCCGTCGGTGGACTATGCTATTATCTCTCCCCACCTGAATCCGTAGGGCACATTGTACAGGATCCTGTACACGCTGTTCTCTACATTCTTTTCATGTTGGGATCCTGCGCATTCTTCTCAAAAAGTTGGATTGAAATCTCCGGAAGCTCCGCTAAAGATGTATGTATTCATATAATATTTTATTCAAAAGTAAAATTACACGTTTCAACCCGGACGTTTAATTCAATTTGAAGGTTGCAAAGCAATTAAAGGATTCTCAAATGGTAATGCAAGGTCATAGAGAAAAGTCTCTGATTCACGAATTAAATCGCTACATCCCAACTGCAGCGGCATTTGGTGGTCTTTGCATTGGCGCTCTTTCGGTACTGGCAGATTTCTTAGGTGCAATTGGTTCTGGAACTGGTATTCTACTTGCCGTTACAATTATATATCAATACTTTGAAATTTTTATCAAAGAACAAAGTGAAATGGGTGGTATGAGTACATTACTCTTTTAATGACTTAATTTTATAAAATTCACAGAAAGTGAAAAAGCATCGTGAACTGAAAATTTAATTTATTAAGAGAGAGTACTCTTGACATGTATTGTGTGAAGTTGTTTATAAAAATACATGGAAAAAATTCAAAATGTTCATAGGTGCAATATGAAATACGTATAAATCGATTGTTTGATACTTTCGATTTTTGAAATATTCTACATTTTTTATTATCTTTACAGTCAACTATTTATAAACAGAATAGTATGGTTAAAGTAGAATGAATGTTCATATATGTAGATGCTACTATGATATCTAATTAGATATTTTACTTAATTATATAGTGTGTTTAAAGATGTAATAAAGTTTATTTTTCAATAATAAATTATACATATATATTAAAATTTTACAAATGTTATCTAAGTGGATATCATCTTAACTGAATAAATGCAGGATTTGAACAAAAATTTAGAAAGACTTAAAATACTATGTGAAAGTTTTCAACAGTACTTCTGAGATTTTGAATGCTTATTAAAATATAAGTAGTGTTGAAAACTTAATAAAATGAACAAAGCGTGATGTTTATCATAAATAGTTTAAATGTTATTCATATTGCATTATTTAACAGGACGAACCACCCACCTAGGGTAAATTCTACAATCATTGACAGTAACCATTCATTGTATGAAATATCATTCTTAAATAATTTTTAATGTTTAATATCAGATAAATTAAGATTTATATGTATGTATAATATTAGTTATTATTTAAGAATGTACTTCGTTGTATTTCTTTGCATTGGAAGTGTAGTTTTATAGTTTGATACGTTATGGTTTGTCTCATAAATTATTTATTTGATATTATGCCTATTTAATGAGATAGTAAGAGATAATATAATAAAATATTCGTTTATTTAAATTAGTGCAAGATTTACGTATGTTTTATTACATCCAAGGAATGTTTATGTATTTTCTTTTGAATGTTTAATAGATATTAAAATCTTAAAGAAATATTTTTTCAAGTTGTAATGAGATTATTATTAGTTTCTTCTTTAAAATATTAACAAAGGAAGAACAAAACTTGGGAAATGTAAGTAATATAATGTTTATACCGAGGACCAAACTAGCTTTAATAATTTAATATTCAAAGTCGATGATCATAAAATGATTTAGGTCACAAATAAATTAATAATTATCGTCAAATTGTAATTTTTTATTAAAATTTTTAGTGCAACGTGTAAATTAAATTTTGTATGATTCTGTGGGTGTTTATAGATTGTGAGTTTATCCAATGTTTTAAGCTTGGAAATATAACATTGTATAAAACATATTTACAAATTTTAGAATTGATTTTTTTCCTCAACTCTTTGGTATTACCATCATTTTCTGACTTTCTTTTTATGAAAAAAAGAAAAATACAAATAAAAATATATATCTACAAAATACTTTAATTTCAATTTTCATTGAAACATCTTGTATTGTTTAGATATATTTATGTTCGTTGAAAAATAGTGTAGCATATAGGGAACCTAAGATATGAATATTAGCCAGTAATAAGAGTCTCAAAGTTTCTGTAAATCGTATATTTGGACTGGAAGTGTCTGTATCGCGCCATGCTATAGTGGCACCTTCTGCTCGAGTGAATAACATTGGTGATGGAATATTTTCATGCATGTACATCCACACGCATTCGCGCATCACCGTAATAATCTAAAATATAAGTAAAATTATTGTTGAATATTTGTTAACGAAATACAATAAGATTAGTACTGTTAAAACAAACTTGATGCGGTTCAAGAACTGGAAGAATATCGGCTATACTAGTAAGTGGCGGAGGAAGCAATTGTCCAAGAGCCATGACGTTTGTTATCATTATACCTGTGTTGTTACTCCAATTAGCTAAAACTGTAGCAACAATAGCTCTTAAAAGTACGGAACAATAAGCCAAAGCTGGCCTGTACCATGCTGTTAATTGCAGTAGTGTCCACAAGACAGGTGCATCTTTAAACGATCGACGAATTTGTAAGTCTCTTTCGACAGTCACCTGCAATTTTTTAAACAGTAATATACAATGTAAGTTAATTAAATGAAAGCGGCGGCAAGGAAAGTTACTGTTAAAATTAATCTTACTTTAGTAAATTCTTCATCTGGCCAAGGTAGTCCGTTGTACATTACATCTGGTGATATTAATTCTACTAACAATAAACTTACTAAAGTTAAAGCATCGGTATCCACTGGATATTGGGAAAAATCACGATTACTACAACAAGCCTGTTAACAAATATTTTATAAATAATTATTGTATTTTAAAATAAGCTATTATTCAATTACCTTTATTACATCCATTAATAATGTATTGTTTAATTTTACTATTTCCTTATCTACATTGTTATCGGGAGGAGGTTTTCTTGGACCTTGACCAATTATTCCAGCATGAAAGACAGACGAATGTCTCTGTGCTAAAATAGCCCCAGTACCCTAAGTAATAAGCGATTTTATAATTTAAAGTGATATATATATATATTATAAATATTTTATTTCTTAAGATACAATAATTACTTGTTTGTGATTTTGTTGCAAAAGAAATGATTTTATTATATTAAATTTGAATTTTTCTTTAGCCTCGAAATATTTAGCAGGGTCTCCAAATATTGTAATTTCTAAAATTTCCCTAAGTGCAAGAACTCTAGCGTATTGAGAATATGTGGTTAGACCTCGAAGAAATCGGCATACTATTTTCGCTCCACGTTCTTTCTTTACAATATCTAAAATAGATAAATTAGCTTTAAATTGTATTCTCACAAATTGATTAGAATATAATACAATATAATCACTATGTTAATATTACCATTTTCTGCTATACAAATAAAAAAAAAACGTATTATAGCTCTAGTTAATCTTAATATAAGTTCAACATTTGCTGGAAAATTATTGTTATTTGGTGGATTGAGACAATCCAACATTTCAGCAATATCACTTGCAAAATCGACATTATTCGTTTTCATAAGATACATTGTCATTTGTAACAAATTAACTTTTACAGCGCGACTTATAAAATTAGATTTTAAACTAGGTATTCTTCCAGAATTTTCCCATCTAAAAATTTATAATTATAATTATATATATATGTATATATATATATTGTCGCTATAATATTAACATTTATGAAATTATTGTAACGATTTTACTTTAATAATATAGTTAAATTTTGAAAAAGTTGTCGCGTAGCAAGATCATCTGCTATATTAGAGTATTGCACTTCTCTTATAGCTTGTTCCACTACTTGCGTAAAATAGCCATTATCTGATAGTGTATTTTCAGTTTTATATTTTTTTGAAAAAAAGTTGGCATTATCTGTAATAAGCCGGACTAATACAGCTAGATGAAAAGTCGTTTGAGCTTTCTGTAGAACGTACGTTGCTGCTGATATTAAAACATTAGGATTTTGAGTGCCAAGAAGAGATAACAGTCTCACAGCGGTTTTAATTTTTAGTGGTTGAGAATTCAATAGAAGCGGTATGACAGAAGGCAAATCTTGATTAATCGACGCTAGTAAAGGTATGTTATTCGATTTAGAGTTATCTGTTCTAATTGTAAGCTCAATTTCTTCTAAAATTAGTTCAAGTATTTCACGACAAATAGTTTTTACATTTTGAGCAGCATTTACACTATGATAGCCTACATTACTTGGATTTAGACTCGTATCTAGTAAAATATTTATAATTTGAAGTGCACCCTGATCACATCCTAATGCTAAATGCACTGCGATACTTATTAAATTTTTAGCATCGTCATTGAAGTATCTAATCCAATCTGTGGAAAATAAAGCTAACCTTGGTATTACATCTGGTCTCACTAAAAGATAATTTAGTTAATATTAAAAGCAAATTTAAGTATTTTAACTTTTAAATTAAAGTTATAATAAATTTTATTAATCTTACATATTTGTGATATATCCCTGGTAATAGCTTTTAATAACATTGGCGAAAGTGATGCTAAATTTAATAAAAATGGAACAGTCGCTAACCTTTGTATTTTTGTATCTTCATTAACACTGATATTTTCATCTAAACTCCACTGTAGAATACAATATTCATTAATATTTACATGTTATATATGAAAAAGTATAATTAAGACAATATTAATTACCATAAATAAATCCAACAAAGCGGTTCTGATGTAATACAAATGACTACCCGTTAAATGACTCAAAATTCCAACAACAGAGTTTAACTTTGGATCAATTTTTTTATCTTTAAAGTCGTTGCATCCCATTGCATAAAAATCTTTCAAACCACACGAGAGTACCCTAGTTATAACTACATTTGGAAAACAGCTACCTACATAAGCAACGACCCAATCAAAATGCGGACTATGTAATACGCTAGTATCCAGTAACGCTTTTATACAAGATTCTGTATCTGCATGCATGAGACATTGTAAACATTGTTCCGTAATATCTATTAGGATTCTAGTAGCTCTACAAGACATCCATTGTTGAAGAGAGTCATTGATTCCCACATTTCCAGACAAATTAATACGTTTAGAATAATCAGATGATAATTTTCCTGAAATGAAAATCTTATAAAGCACTTCAAACTTATAAAATTCTTCAAATTTGGTCATGTCAATGATACACATGACGATAAATATTTAATATTTCTAATGATAATTTACCAAGAAGATCGAGAGACCAAGCTGATATGATAGGCGCCCATGCCTCTGGATTTCCATTAATAAAACTACTTAAAACTACATGTATTTCAGCAATAATATTTTCCTCGCTAATTGGTAAATTCTGCCTTGTCTATGCCAAATAAATAATTTAATTAATACGATTGACAGTTTGGAAGGGTAAAAATTATTAAACTTTCATCATTGTAGAAAATAATATTAATTTGAATTTAATAATAAAAGTTAAAGCACTATTAATTCTATTTTTAATGTTGAAATTTTATCGTTTACACATTCATTCGATTTATATTAAAATTGTGAATGTAAACAATCACGACCAACCTCAATTTGTCGCATGTACTTCGTAACGGCGACAAAAAAGACAGAGCAAAAATACTCGAGTACGGCTTCCCTTGTGGCGGGCACATTTTTCAAAAGATTCAGAGCCGTTCTTGTCAATTCCAGGGTGTTTGAACTTTGTGACGATCTCGCAGTACCGGAGATGAATTTCCTAACCTCCACCATAATGTCCTGCGGTGGCAGGGAATCCGTCAAATGCGGCATTTTGTTTAAGAGTGAGCATAAGGACGGATGCTTGATAATGTCCAATAACCAATAATTGGTAAATTTAAATTAATGCGCAAATAAAAATCTTATATCTGCTATTTGCTGCCGATGAAAACTCACACCTGCAAAACCGCTTGCGAGTTGCTACTTGATTTGGTATTTATACAATGCCGATTTGTTGATTATCCGACCACCCGAGGGCGCTTTACAATCTCAATGAGCCAATCTGTACAATTCGCAAGAGATTAAAAAGTTTTGACAACGTAAGCAGCGAGCTTTCCTTATAATTTGCAATTGCCAAAATACAATGCACCTGTACCATAAAATATTGTAGTTTTTGTTGCATCAAAGTACGTATATATGAGTGTTATAAAGCTTCTGACAGCGCATGGAGGAGTATAGTTTCTATATATTCTTTTAACGAACGTACTTGTTACTTTTCACAATTGAGTGGTATTTCATTAGCATTTAGTTTCATTATAATAAATTTTTTAATTTGTAATTTGATATTGAACTATAAATTGTAATTTAATAAATTTAGTTTCATTCGTCTATAAGAGCACGGTTTAATATGTAAGAAACAGCTTAATCTTGAAAAAATTGAATATTTAATACATACCACTAATGCTTGTAAAAATAAGGAAAGTTAATTTTAATATTTTAATTCTTGTATATTCAAAGGCACACATTATCGTAACAATTGCAAAAAATGCTGCTCTAAATTTTTCAACAGAGTTCTTTAATAATCGAATTAAAAATAGTGTATATATCTTAAATTATTGCTTTGTAGTTTTCTTTTTTTTTTTTCTTCAAAAATTGAATTCTCTAATAATATGACTTTATATTTTTAGATAAAGATAGTATATTGATTATAAAAATTCTTGGATTAATCAAAGATAATTTTATTATTAATAACTGAGTTACGTTTGTTCAAAGTTTACAAAGGTTGTTTTTAAAATGTACATTGACGTTTGTATATTTTTTATTCTATGTCGTTTCAAACATGGAAGTATCTAAATGAAATGTTACATAAATATATTTATTTTTATGGAAAATTGATATGATATTATTTCTATATTTGTAATGTTTTGAAAAAAATTTTTTATCAAAAAATTAATTGAAATGTATATATATAAATTTATACTTATAAATGTAATTAATAAACGATGATTAATAGTTAGTAATTTATGTGATTAGATATATTAATAATTTATGATTGGAGACTCAAAATTGATTATTTTGATTTTGAAAAATGAATCAAAAGTTTATTTAAAAAAACATATATTGAGCAATTTTACATTATAATTTTTGTTTTCATTATTAATTATACATAATGATATATACATACATATATATATATATATATATTCATCTACATTAATAATGTTTTAGTATTTATTAATATTAATTATTGTAACTCATTATTGTATTAAATACATAATTATAGTATTAATTGCAACGTAATTAATTTTTTTGTCAAAAAGATCGTTTCAATATTTATTTGCTAAATAATCTAGATATAATTTTACTTTAGTTTGGTATTAATAGAATTACATTCTATTAATAATCCATCATATAGTTTGTCTGTTCAGTTATTCGAAAATTGGATATTTGGTAATTTAATGGTTAATCAAATAATAATAATAATAATTTATTTTCTAGTTATTCAAAAGTATTATTATTTTAAAATATAGTGATATATATATATATATATATATGTCTGTAACTAGTTATTTTATTATACAGTACGCAATATATCAGCGTAAATTAAAAAACAATATATTGATAAAGAAGTAATTGTAGTATTTAATAATTATTGTGATATGTGATAATTGCACATTCGATAGAAAATATTTTTCAGATGTTTATAGATTGTAATCGACGTTAACTATTGTTAAAAGTGTTAATAGAGAAATATATGAATGGAATATATTTCTTATTTTTATTGAATTTTGTATAAACACTGAATATATATAAAATATTTTAAATATTGTAAAGTAATAACAACAATGTATTAAATTATTTTATCTACAATAAATATTGCTTGTTTACGTAAATACATTTCGTACAACACGTCTTTGGTTTTAAATTGAGCTCGGAAAGAAACATTCTTGATATCTGCATAGAATTCAATGGATATAAGTTGGGTGGCGTGAGAAATTGTTATAAAATATTTTTTTTAAATAAATCGACTATTTTGTATTGATCTTCTGTCAATCTTAAAAGTGATCTCATTGATAAAAAAAAAAAAACTATACAAAAATTAATATAGACAAAATTCAGAGGGGAGAGTTGTTCAGTGCTTGCTGATTGACTTTCTAAGATAGAATAAGATATTTGATTGCTTTCTTATGAAATAAAATAGTAATTATTATCGCCGAATATTTAAAATAATATTTAAAATAAAGCAAAAAGTCAAGATACAATGTGAGAATCAAAAGTATTTAAAATAAAATAATTTTATTGTTAAGAAAAAAAATTTACTTTAACGTTAATAATTGTATAGGTTTTATAAATTTTTGAACAGCTTAGCTGTTTTAACAATTCAATCTAAAATGTATATCATAGTAGCTATTGCACAATAAATAATCAATTTATAGCTTTTACTTGATAATTGTTCTACTGTGTAATTGTTCCGGTAATAGTTCTACTAGTGCTTACTAGAAGCACTAGGATTTATATATTTTGTATTAATATTTGATATTGACTATTTACGTATCAATTTCATAATCTGAATCATTAGCTTGTACATTTTTAGTCTACCACTTTGGTAGTTAATATTTTCAGTTTTTGTAATTTTTTAAAATCAATTGTACATTATATTATTATATGAAATCAGTTTTTAATTTCTAGACAAATTTACGCAATAATGTATTTTTCTGTTTTTATTATTATTTCTATTATTTCTATTTTTATTACATTGAGATGTTAAAAATAACGTTATATTATGTGGATATATCAAAGCTGATAATAATTAGAATAAATCTTGTAGCTGAAAAAACTATTTATATCTATTTAAGTAAGTAAAAGTATTTAAAACTTCAACAAAATAATGAAAATAATTTAATATCGAAATTTAATATTTTTTACAGTAATAACTTATTTAGAATATAAACTTTATACGAATATTGAAATTACTAAATGATAGAATAAGTAATTAATTTTGTGAAAAAATAAAAATTTACCGTTTTATATGTTTATATTTCTGTGATAAGACAAAACAGCATAATAATATAATACTTTATATATTAAAATTATAATTCTTTTGTAGGACAGCTATGCTTGAAATTATAAAATTGTTATAAAAATTCTATGCGTGATATTATTTCAAGATAAAACATTTTTATTTGTGTATTTATTTATTTATAATCAAAAAATTTATAAATTTTATAATTATTATTTTCCTTTTATAGGTTACACAAATAATTTATAATTATATATTTTTGTAATATTACGGAATAAATTTATGTAAAAGTACTTAAAAGAAAATTGATTAGTGTTTAAAATTAAATGTATTTTAAAAGTTTTTAGTCAATATAAAATCGTAATGCTATTCAATATTTTTGATTTTTTCGTACTTAATTATTCAAAGTTTTTAGTCTTAATTTTTTTCTTAAAAAATATATATTAATTTATAAAAATATAATTATAAAATTTTTTGAAATATTAATTATTAACTATTACACATTTATTATGAAAATATTTTATTTTACATGTAAAAGAAGAATAATTGCTTAAACAATTGAGTCACTTTAAATTCTGCACTAATTATTGTGTATACAGTTATCATAATTTGTCCTATAGTCAAATTTCCATTGTTCCATTTAAAAATAAAATATATTCTGTATAAAATTTCTCACGTTAAAAGTTTTAATGAATCATTGTAAGATTTTTTATATATGTTTTCTGAATATTATTTACGGCTACGGCATTACATTTCATGGTTGAAATTATATATTTTTTTTATTTCATATCATGATTATATTATATTTTTATATAAATAATAAAAATATTGGTACATTCTGAAAAGCAATGTTGAAAATTTAAAAAGTTTAACAATTTGTGCTTTTATAACTTTATTAAGCTCTAATATTAAATACTTAATAATGATAGAATAAATAAGTAAAAATTTTTCAACGAGATGATTAAATTTTTATTCTCTCTATTAATATTGAGAATAATTTTTAAAATTCTTAAATGATTTTAATTATCATTATAATAAATAATTTAATAGTTTAAGAAAATGTAAAAAGAATACTAATATATTAATTTCGGAAGCAAATATATTCAAAATTTATTTTAAATGAAATAAATGTTTTCAAATTGATTTGAATCGATTACAATAAATTGGTATAAGAAATAATTTATTATTTTTAGACACTGTGAAATGTGAAGTAACCATTATTTCAATAGATTCTGTTTTAAGAGGGGAGAGTAATTGGAGTATTTAGAGTTGATAGTACGAAACGTAGATTGATTGGTTGGCTGCGTTTTAGGATGCACTTTTAGTAACTTGGGTTGGAGAAAGAGAGATTATTAATAAGTTGATTAACATGCTGATAAAAAAATTGATTGGCGTTTCTGTCTACTGATAATATTGATAAGAAAGTTAATAATGGAATGTGCCATACTATTGGTTGGCTTTCGGCGGGTTTTATCGTTAATAATAATGTGCTTTAAATAAAATAATTATCTTTGTCATTTTTATTAAGAAACTATGTTAATGACAGTTAAGAAATTTTTTAAGTCAAATTGTGGTGATGACTACTCAGCCGATAATAATTCAACTGTTAAATATGTGTTGTCAATTAATACTTTTATTGGATTAATATGGAATTCATAAACCAATGTTACATTCTCTTTCTAAATTTTAATTTGGTGGTCTAATTAATTACAGTTAATTATAATTGATTATTTACTAATTTATTTATTAAAATATATAATATTGATTGGATCAACATTATGAAAGTATGTTAAATATTTCTGAAAATATAGAAAATAAGCAGCTCGCTAAAATCTCGGTAGGTATTGATGGAATTTATTTTAAAGACACATTAGTAAATAAAAAATTCAATATAGAACATAAAGTAATTTTCGAGAATAACATCGATAATAATAATTATCGTGAATCAAT